CCTGCTGTATAAGACCACACAATATATGGCCAAATAGTGAGCAGCTGGGAAGAGACACACACGGACACAGAGCTGAACTCTCAGCCAAACTATGAGGGATCTTTGATCTCTCCTCAAAAGCTGCCTTCATCCTCCCCGTATTCCTCCTGTCTGTGTGCCTGTCCTGCCTGGTGATGGGTAAATTTAAGGATGCCACAGGTCTGCTTTCCTTGTGGTCTGATGCTCAGGGAAGCAGACACTGGCTGTGATGCAGCACACGCACCCACACACCCTGGGCTGTCTGAGGCAGAGAGTTAGGAGCAGCCAGGCAGAGCTTTGCTGCTTCTAGACCCTCTGTAAGGACCCTTGGCATTGCCCAGCCCATGAGAGGGGTCTTAAGGCAGGTCATGGCTGTGGTATGTAACATGATGGAGCAAAGGGACAGGCAAGGGCTGCTCCAGTATGGGTTTAGGATCTCATTTTACCTCCAGTTTCACTGAGGCTGGTCCTTCCATGCCAGGCAGCTGTGCCTGCCTGCACCCTGTGCCTTTATTACAGCCTCGGTGCCTTCCCTGAGTGGGAACGCAGATGCCAAACCAGTGAGTGTTCCCAGCCCAACACAGGGTTTGTGTTTTTGAGTTTCTACCAGCCAGTGCTGGAGCGTGTGGCAGCATGTTGTGGTAGTGAACCAACAGGAAACAAGCTCTCTTTTTCCATGCACTTAGCTGGGAAACTCTGCAGCTTTTGAGCTGTCTAGGTGAGAATCTAGGGATAGCTCATTAGGCAGGACATGTAATCAGATGTTACCTGTTAGCAATTAATCATCCGAAGTGTTCACTCTGACATAATATGTAAAGCATTGATCCTAACCCAGCAGCCAAACACTACCAACCTCTTTACTGTAGCATTTGCTGGAAAACATCCTTTTTCTTTTTAGTTCTCTCTGCTTATATTTACCTCTACCTGCATCTTCTTTTTCGAATCCCTTTGGCTTTTCTCAACCCTTTAGCTGATAAACTGTACTTCATGAAGTGACAGTCTCCTGGCTGTGAGACAGCAGCTCTTTCACACAGTGTACAGAGTGCACATTTTGGACAATGCAGAGGAATTTTCATACCAGGAGCTATAGGATTCACTTTTATTTCAGTGCCAAATTAACATCAGTATTTTTATCAACACGATTGTATCGTGATACCTGCAATAACACCAGCTAAGCTTTGTAACCCAGGTCTCTTGCAGTCCTTTGTTCCTAGCTGGAAAAGGCTGTAGTCATCAAAACAAAGAGGGAACCATTTTCTCTCCTGAGAACAGATCACTAAGTTCTCATAAGGCAAAACAACATTATGCTATGAGGCAAGACAAAGTCCCGGGCGTGTGGAGTCTTGCTGCCTGCTTGCAGCACTCACATTCCAGCATGCAGCCGTGGTGCAGGAGCACAGCATGAAATGGTGGAAAGCTTCACCCCAGCATGTGCAGAACTCCCCAGATGTGCTGCTGGAGAAAGAGCAATGAGATCTCCCCACCCTGTGTCCCACAGCAGCACCTCTGCTTCCTGCCACCTCTTTGTGACCCAGAGAGAAGCCTTGCCTATGCCAGACACTAGCCAAAATGGTTCAAGGAATACTCAAAGCTAGGTTGGATGGGGCTTGGAGCAACCGGGTCTAGTGCAAGGTGTCACTGTCTGTGGCAGGGGGTTGAACTGGATGAGCATTAAGGTCCCTTCCAACCCAAACCAGTCTGAGATTCTGTGAAATATAATTAGAGGTAAAAAGCTGTTTCTTTACCTGGTCTTTGTAACTGAGCATGGGGAAGTGGAAAACACAACAGAACTGTATTATAAACACCACAGTGACTGTGGCTGCCAAAGGCTTTGTTCCAGTAGGTCCAGCAGAGACCAATGCTGGGGGATAGATCCAGTATAACTTTTTCTTGTGAGCCAGATTTCAAGCTGTTCTGCTGCAGACAAGTCATCTTAGAGGTGCAGGCTGAAGCCTTTACGAAAGGAAGGATGGAGTTTATTAATTGCATTACATTCTTTTAGGCACAAAGACAGACAAACAGTACTGTTAAAATGAGTAAAATATACCTTTCTTTTTTTAAAGAGAGCAGTCTTAGTCTTCCTAGCAACTTCTTTAGTCCTTCCCATCCATCACAATGCTTGCAAGAAGAGGATAAAGGCAGTACAGCACTTAAAACTCTGAAGTGAAACCATGTGTTACTTGGGTATGCTTACATACAGAAGTGCAAAATTAGACTGCATTGCACATCTGTATCTATACACACAGCCACATGCACTACCACTGATGAGTTACAGGAGTGAGCAGGCTCAGAGCAAGCCCTATTCTTACTGTAGAATATGAATCACCGCACTGTTAAGTTTCATGCTGAAACTTAACCCATGTAAGAAGCTTTTATTTCTCAACTAATAAAAAAACCCCACTATTTTTAAAAGAAACAAACAGCTTAAATCCATTGGGGTTTAGTATTATTGCAATAGGGAGCCTACTATTTCCTATCAGTGCTCCTTCAATCCTCTTAAAAGAAGAATCCCATCTGGATATCAGCCTGGCTCAGACACATTTATAGCTACAGGCCATTTCTTTCCAGCTGACAGGGATAATGGTTTGATTCTGAACACCTGGTTTATATGGAGAAAAGCTGGTGGCTCTAGCAAGGAAAGGAAAGAGTAGTAGGTTGTATGTAGTGTGGTGGGGTCTGAGCTTTGGCAGTGGGTGACTGTGAGCTTCCTGTAGCATGGGAAGAGGCTGGGGTAGGGCTCTGTTGTGTCTGAAGCAGGAATAATAAGCAGTGTTCACTAGTAAAAGTAAGTAGAAGGTGTGGTTTAATAGATAAAGGTATGGAAGGAGAATAAGAATAGCTTAATGCTTTAAAAAAACCAGAGAGATTAAATAATTCTGTCACTTCTAGCTAAGAGCTTTAAAAATTAATTGTAAGAATAAGACCAGTATGTGTATCTATATCTATGTGCATTTACTTGTTATCTTGGTCATTTTATCTAGAGAAAAGCCTACAGTAAGCATTTAATTAACTTTATCCATTAACAGCTTTTTTCATGTGAGTGGTGTGTGCTTATTTTTTTCAGGGCTTGCTCTCTGTAGTTGGTGCTTGTTACCATGTCCCTTTTCTGTGAAGCACTGGGTATCCCCAACAAGAAGGTAATACATGCCCCAAAAGGGAACCCTCGCTCCCAAGTTCTTTGACATGAAGCTATTTTTGTGCAGGAGGTCCCTGAGCATCTGGAGCCTGTTCCTAAATAGGGCACAGCCTGGAACATCTGAAGGTCTCTGTGGCTCATAAGTGGGAATCTCCTAATGATCTTAGCTATTTTTAAACGTGCCTGATGCCACACTTTATACTGCCCTAGTGCAGAGAAGCAACTCTACAATCACCAAGTGAGCACCCAAAGCTGCAGTGGTGAAAACTCTAGGAGAAAAAGAGGAAGAAGAAAGTGAAACATAAAGCAGGTGAAATAGTAAGACAACATTAACATTGAGTAAAGGCACAAGACAGCAAGAAGACAAAGAACAAGCAACTAAAGGTGACAAAAGGACGATACAAGCGAAGGACTTTGGCAGGGTTTTCCTTTTGTTCTGTTTTAATCTTGCTTTACGGAGCAAAATGGGACAGCAGTTCACCAATGCTGAAGGGGAGCAAACGGAGATTGATGTTGCAGAACTCCAGGAATGGTATAAGAAATTTGTGGTTGAATGTCCCAGTGGGACCCTCTTCATGCATGAATTCAAGCGGTTCTTTGGGGTGCAGGATAACCGTGAAGCAGCAGAGTACATTGAAAACATGTTCAGAGCTTTTGATAAGAATGGGGTAAGTGGTGGTGAGATTTTGCAATTATTTATCTAATCATTCATGTCTTTCTGCTGCTATTTGGAGGTGGTTTGGTGCATTTCCTACCCTGGTTACGATGCTTCATGAAACTAAGCAAGGACTGCTAGAGCAGAAGGAGCCCATGCTGCACTACTCTGTATGGGCTGCTACAGATTTATCTTCTCATCAGTCTGTACACAAATCAAGGGGAGAATGTTCCTTTAAGGGACTAAGGATGGATTAAAAGGTTGAAATTTTCTATTTGTTGGATAAGTTGAATTTACTAAGAGGGTGCTGAGGCGCTGGCACAGGGTGCCCAGAGAAGCTGTGGCTGCCCCATCCCTGGCAGTGTTCAAGGCCAGGTTGGACACAGGGGCTTGGAGCAACCTGCTCTAGTGGAAGGTGCCCCTGCCTGTGGCAGGGGTTGAAACTGGAGGAGCTTTAAGGTCCCTTACAACACAAACCAGTCTGGGGTTCTATGAAATTTAGGCAGCCAGTTTTTGAGACACTGTTGAAAGAGCCCCAAATAGCCAAGATTGTTACATGAGGAAAAAGTAGTTATCTGTTATGATAAAGGGGGTCTTATAGTTGAAGGGAAGTCCTACTCAAGCTTGCTGTACACTGCGGGAAGTGTATATGTACAGTATGAGCAGGTGGCATGTAACAAAATATTGATTTTAGCTGCTGCAAAGGAATGCTGAACAACTCAGACATTCTGGTTTTGATTCCCATTGCTGTATTTGTCATCAAGCACCTGGGAAAAGTGGGCTTTCTGGTTTAGTAGCAGTTTATGCATACACATGTGCTGGTGCAAAAGAGCCTAATACTACCCTGTGCTATTTTAGATCCTCAAAAGAAATGTAATTTGATTGCTTTTGTCATCTTGAAATGGGTATGCAATGCTTGCTCCGTTTTTTTCACCCAAAGCTCTTGGTGATATTCAAAGCAGAGGTTTGTTTGCTGTGTATCACTATAGGAAAAGGGGCAACAAGTCTGTCATATCTCAGATATACCAATGTCCCTTAAGCTTCCTTTGCAGCCAGTGACAAAATCACATCAAAGTGGCAGCAGAGTCATTTTGTCAGGAAGGATAAGGAAAAGCTCTGGAAGGGGTGGGCTGGTCTCAAAATTTGAACTTGGCAAAACCCTAATTCCTGCAAATTACTGAAGGTCCAGGTCCAAATCCTGTTTGGAAAGCTGTGCTGGAAGTGTTGTGGAGCAAGCAGTGGGCTTGAGGTGAAGTCCCATTCTGGGGAGTTCTAATAACACTGAAAATCCCTTTTTAAGGGATTCTGGTATTTGCATGCTCTAAGAACACTAAATTAGGCTTTGGTTCATGGTTTTGCTTGTATGTGCCCATGGTATATCATCAGTTAAGCAGGACCTAAACATCTGAACACCTGGTGCAAATCCTTTATTGTATCGGGTGCTTTTGCTGCCTCCTGAATGGTGACTGTTTTCATTGTCATAGTCTTCCTCAGGTGAATCAAGATCAAACAAGAGGGAAGGATGGGAGAAAGGGGTGATGGTTGGGTGTTGGTCTTGGTTGTGAAGCAGCTGAGGTCACTGAGAATGGCAGTCCCTTCCCAAAAAGTCAATACCTCCTGTCCTGATCCTCATCTGCCTCCCTATCCTCCATGTAATCTGTGGTGTCTTCAGGATACTTAAATCACTAGTTTCTGGAGTCCTGGTGGGTGTCCCCCCTTATTGTAATGTAGAATTGCTTCCCTCTCCAGTGTCACACTCCTCATGAACTCATCCTTGGTGCAGAGGGGTCTGACTGATGGTCTCAGACTGGCACAAATGGTCTGTGATATAGCTGTCCTGTGGATTATCTTTTGGCAGTTTTAATCCAGGTTTTGTAAGCAGTTTTATGTCAAGTATACCCAGTTAAGTGTCAGCAGCTGCTTTCCTATTTCAACAGGATAATACCATTGATTTCCTGGAATATGTAGCTGCCTTGAATCTTGTTTTACGAGGAAAACTGGAACACAAGCTGAGATGGACGTTCAAAGTATATGACAAGGATGGGAATGGCTGCATAGATAAACCTGAGCTGTTGGAAATTGTTGAGGTAAGGAGGCATTGCCTAATCACTCATTTAAGCAATCACTGTTCTTTGGCAATGTAGTGATGCATATGGGGTTTGTGATAATCGGGTTTCAAGGCAGTTGTGGATAGTGAGGAAGTGAAAATGCCTGACCATGGAGGAAGGGTTATGTGCTCAGTGGTTTGGTGGAGCCTGATGGGGTGGCTGAGGAATCATTCTACCCACTGTGGGGGCAGCCTGGTCCTGCTGCTGCTCTGAAACATGGCATCTGGGTGCTGTTGTGAAGTTCCTCTATCTCTGCTCTGCCTTTCATTTCATCCTCCTTACACCAGGATTCACTGCACTGGCCAGTAGAAGAGGGTTTTGCCCCATGCCTGTCACAAGAGTCAAGTTTCCTGCCTGAGTAGCTGGTGAGAATACAGAGAGGCACAAATCAGTATAGAAATCCCTTCTGCTGTGATTAATTTCTGGGTTTCTGTTGTTCTGCACTCAGCTGTAGCTACTGACTGTGTGGAGGTTTAAGAGGAGGCGTGTGGCTTGGCAGGCATTTAAACAGGGTACCTGGCTTTTTATTTGAGGTAAATAATGTGGTGGTTGTGCTACACTACAGATGCTGACCCTTGCCCAGCAGTACTCATGAGGCTCAGTCAATGGTTATCAAGTACCTTAGATGAAACCATCAGAAATTGGGTCTGTGGACAGCGGGCCCTTTTGGCCAGAGGGTGTGACCAGCTTGTTACCTGCAGCACCAGGAGGATCTGGGGTGTGTGTCTGGGGCAGGTTCAGTTACAGTTTTGAGGTCAGCCAGGAATTGGCCCGAGCTGTTTTAGGCTCTTCCTAATCCCCTCTCTGTTAAGAGTTCAGGCAAAACCCTTCAGCCTAAGGAGTGAAGTTAATAATGAGTAGGTGGTTGTCATGGGAGGAATGGAAAAAATCTGCCCCTTTCCAGTGACAAAGTGGGTCAAAATGTGTGCTAATACAGGCTTGATCTTGCAGCTTGGGCACAGGTTCCCTGGGGCAGAGGGCAGGGTAAGTCCAGGTGTGCCTGGCCTCAGATGCTAAGAAGAAATCATACTCAAAAGTCAGGTTTTCCCATCTGTGAAACCCTTTCCTTGTTCTTTGCAAAGGAACCCTGAGGTCTGACCCAGATGTGTAAGGAAAATAGGAGGGCAGTTGCTTCAAAGAACAAATGAAGTAATCCACAGTGTGTGTGAGCATAAGGTCAGAGGTTTCATTAAAGGTCTGAAGCTGTTGAGTGGCGGATCTTTCCAGAAAGGTTAAAACCACAGCCTTTGTATAAGACCTCTATACTGCTGGGGTGATAATGGAGTTCACTGCTTCTCATTTTCCAGTCCTCCTTCTAATCTGTGAACTTCTTTTCAGTCCATCTACAAGCTGAAGAAAGTGTGTCGGTCAGAGGTGGAGGAGAGGACCCCATTGCTCACACCGGAGGAGGTTGTGGACAGGATATTTCAGTTAGTGGATGAGAATGGGGATGGTAAGTGATCGATGGCTCAGATTGCATTCACGTGTAATGAAGTTATCTGTGCTGGGCAGGCTACTTTAATTATGTCTATCAAGAAATCACTTAGGGCCATTATGTTACTCATATTAGACACATTGGGTTTGGTTCTGGTTTGTTTGTTGGATCAAGAGGAAGCTGGTGCAGCAGGACAAAATAATTACTGTTATGTATAATAGAGGAGTCACTATTCTGTCTGGATTTTGATGCCACGCATCTCATCATCTGAAAGCCTTCAGTAGCCAGAGTGAAGGTCCCAGTCCCAGCACAAATAGCTTGAGTAAAGACAGTAGCCCCAGGCAGATTGGAGCTTGCAGGATCAAACTTGTAGTCCTCCTGAAGAGCATGTGTAAGCTAATGCAGCATTTCATGTTAGCTGATGGGCTGGGGTAGGTGTGAATGCATGGGGTTTCAGCCTAGTGGTTTGTTTTTCAGCTATCTATCTGGGCTAAACTGCATGGGGAAATGAAGTACAGCTTTTGTCTTGTTGGCATAATTTCTGAAACATAGATCAATTTATTTCCTGCCTTCCTTTTCTTGTCTTACTAGTGATGTTTTGTCTTCCCATCTTGTTCTCATCTTGTACACAGGGCAGTTGTCTCTTGACGAGTTCATTGATGGGGCCAGGAAAGACAAGTGGGTGATGAAGATGTTGCAAATGGATGTAAACCCTGGGGGATGGATCTCCGAGCAGAGGAGAAAGAGTGCTTTGTTTTGAGAAAACTCAGGTTTGATACAGCTGAAAACGTGATGCTGGCTACAACTGTGACTCTCTTGCTCTAGGGTGATAGTGGCTTTCCTTTTTAATTCAATCTCAGCATCCAGATGAAAACTTCAGTGGTTTAAGAAGCCCTGTCTCAATCTAAAACCCATGTGCTGCTGGTACCCCATGAATCAGTCAGTCTGTGTACAGAATATCATGTTTGCCAGCTGTGGTTTTTGGTTGTACCCCAAGGGACAGACTTTGTGGCTTCCTGTAGTGGATCCTGGGCAGGGTTTTAGCCCAATGCATATAGGATTGGGAAGTGACAGTGGTACTGTCTCCAGTGCAGACTAGTATTGGCATCATTCATGCCTCCGAGATACAAACACATCAACCCAAAAGTAACAGCAGAAGTGGTCTGGCAGGCTTCATACATCCAGGATGCCTGTATGTATGCTTAGTAGGCTATACTGCTAATGTAAGGTTATTGAACACCAACATACGACCATCAAGTGTGAGAATTGGATCATAAGCAGAGCCAGGACAGTATGTATACAGCTGAGGCAAACAATGCGTGGGCTGGGCAGGTGGAGCAGTAACTCCATCTTGCATCTTCCTCCTGGGGACCAGAGTCTGCTCCTTCTACCTGTTCATAGACCTGGGTTCTGTGTGGCTGCAAAAAAGCTATTTTGAAACACTGAGCAGCAACAGGAATTGTACCTCTCCTTGAGAGCCACATTTAGAGGCCAGACTTGCACAAGTGTGGTTCTGCTCTAAAGCCCCTGTTTCTCACTCAAATCATCACTCTAAATGGCTTTCCCTGCCCTGTGAAGACTGAATGAGCTTGAGGAGCTCCAGGACTTTCACTGAATTGGGGCAAGTTTTGGGTTGAAGAGAGAAGGGAAGAGCAGAGTATTGCTCTCTGCAGTGAGGGGTTTAGTGCTGCTTTATCAGCAGGAGCACAGAATGGAACAAGTAAGAGAACCTGAGTTACTGAAGTGGTACAGTGGTTTTACACTGGACTTAATTTAGCCGCAGGATATAGATACAAAGTTTGCAGAGTTGTAGGCTGAGCTGCTGTTCTAACCCATATTCCTACGTATATACATGTATGTGGAAAGAGAATTTGGGTTGAAACATTGTTTTGGTTCACCTTTATTTGTTAGCAAGAAAATAACATGAGTTTGTGGCTTATCTTAATTTTCCCATGGGATCAGTGGGCCAGCTCATACCTATGAACAGATTTGCAATCCCTTTTTTGTGGCCTTTATGACTATACTATCTTTCATTAGTTGGTTAGTTTGCTGCTTTGTCCTGTCAATTTAACCAATGGAACAAATGCAGGAACATGAGGGATCGATAGGGATAAGACACAATCACTGCTAGAGTTGAAATGCACATTTCCACTTCTAAATGGCCTTTTCAAGAGTGCTCTGGAAATACACACCAGCTTGTGGTATGCTCACTTACCAGAGCTCATTAGACTTCCAGTTTATGCTGCTGTGAGGCAGCTGTTTAAAGCTCATTCAAGTCAATAGTTTAGTGGCCAAAGAGCTGAAAGAAAAACCTTACTTCTGACTTGAGAAGAAAAGATCTGACTTGCCTGGAAGAAAAGATTCTCTTCACTGATTTTTTCCAACTTGTAGACAAATGTTTTCATGGAAGGATGCAAATCTCTACTTCCTTAAATTTCAGCATCTCGACCAACATAATAGACTGCTGCTTGCACTGTTCTTACATGGGTGTTTAGTGACTATAGTTGCATTCTGCAGGTTTACTTCAATGCTTTCAATTCTCTTACTCTTCACCTGGTCAGATCAGGCAGAGAAGGAGCTGTTGGGTGTCCCCCACACCAGCAGTCCTCAGTTGGGGTGGTAGAGGACATCCTAACACTGAGCACTTGTGTGCTTGGTGGTAGAAATTTTGTAACACATGGATTTAATAAAGGAATTGTGTATTAAAATTCTACCTGGTTTGGGGTATTTATTTTCACTCAGAATGAAGACAAAGACCTGTGTAAGCACCTGACTATGACCAAAACTGTAGTCTTTAAAACTGACTTAAGGAAACTAAGGGAATTGTTAAGTGTAACAGCTAACCTCTGGGTAAGATGACTACAAGGTGGAGATGTTGATGCTATTGCAGATGTGGAGTAGGAAACAAGTGTCTTCTGTTTAGCTTCTATGTAATGACAGTGAAAAGTATAAGTGTGTCACTAAAAAGAAATCTCAATGGCATTTGAAATAGGTGCTTATAATAAAGTGAGCAAATAGTGCCTGTTCTAACCCTGCCAGGGCTGAGATGGGAACCTTGAAGAATTTAGGACGCAAAGCACTGGATGTGGCAGGGGGATGGTTCTATCTTCTCTGGCCTGGGAAGCCCCCGGATGGTGGCAGTGCCCTTGGTGGATAATGCTTGTGTTAGTGCTGGCATAACCCAGTGGAAAATCATTCCTATTATCAGTTGTGTAATCTTTTGTCAAGAAATCACAAGGTGCTTTAGTCTTAGGCCTATTTTTAAATCCATAGGTATAAACACTTTGATCTCCTCCCAAACTCAATTCAACATTCACATCAAGCTGTTGATGTCAGACCTTTTGCATAATCCATTTTCCAGTCTTACAGCCCAGCTAATATTGGATTTGAGTGATCGGATTTCTCTTGGGTCTAAATTGGGAAACAGGATGGCTTGGAAAAGGCAAATTCCATGTGATGTTCCTGAGCTGCCACCATCTGCTCTGATGTTCGATGTCTCTGAAGGGAGGTAGGATTGAAGGTGAAATAATCAGGTAAGAAAGCTGAAGGTGAGGCTGTTGTTAAAGTAGGCTGATGGGGAGAAGCACCAGGGAGCAGGAGGAATTGTATCCTGGGGAAAGCACAGAGCTCTGCTTAGCATGTTCTTTATTTGCCTCTATACACCTGGTGTTCTGAGAGGGGAGGCTCACCTATGGATAGCTGGGGTTCGGTGGCTGCCCAGGGAAAAGGCTTGTGTCCAGGTCATTCCCAAAGCACGCATGTGCAGCTTCCCCTAGGAAGTGGCACATCGAACAGAATGGCTGTGCCAGGACTTACACAGCCCCAAGCTGGTCACTATAGGGACTTCTTGTGGCCTCACCACACTCATTTTCTCACAGGACCTGTGCTTGGGTCTGGCAGGATGGGAGAACTCTTCTTTCCTCCTCCTCTTCAAAGGGAAGTACACTTCAAATTTATAAAGCATCTCAAACACATTACCCTTAAAGACCCTGTATTTAGAATCATAGACCGGTTTGGGTTGGAAGGGACCTTAAAGCTCATCCAGCTCCAACCCTTGCCATGGGCAGGGACACCTTCCGCTAGAGCAGGTTGCTCCAAGCCCCTGTGTCCAACCTGGCCTTGAACACTGCCAGGGATGGGGCAGCCACAGCTGCTCTGGGCACCCTGTGCCACTTAAGGTAATCTAATGGTATTCTGGGCTGTGATGCCTCACATGTGGGAGCACTGGAGCTGTGCTGTAGGGCAGTCATGTCTCCTGTGGATAACGAACCTTTAGAAGCACCTGGCTGAGAACCTGTTTTGTTTCATTTCTTTGCCTTTTAGGCCTCACACACTAACTCATGGGGATCCAACAGGAGATACATCCACTACTTGCCATTGTCCATTCCTGAGCTCATCATCTCACTTGTTTGATTTTGCTTAGATGGGACTTGTCCCAGGTTACTGTGAAGAGGAGGCAGAGGTGGGACCATGCAGCCTCACATGCCTGTGGCCTCTCTGATGGCAGCTCCCAAAAAAGCCTCTCCCATGCTCAGTGCCTCATTCACCAGGGATTATTGCCACAGGAGTGAGCAATGAGCAACATCTCAGTGGCTGGCACCTGAACAGCCACCACTGCTTTGAAATAGATCCATTACACACGAGTTAGGGTGAAGAGAGTCACAGTATTAGTTTATAATTACTTTTAATTCAGCCTTCTTAGAGGCTGAAAAAACATCCTTTGGAGGGAGACGCTGAGGTTGGAAAGGTGCCTTTGGCCAGCGGCAGGTCTGAGGCAGCCTTTGGAGAGGATCACTTTGTCTTTATAAATAGAAATTGGGCTTGTCCGGGCTGCTTCCTGCGGCTTCTTGGGTGTGCAGAGGAGAGAAAGGCTGGAGGAAGCACGGGTGGGACTGAATGTGTCTCAGCAGAGGGAATGTGCACACAGAGCCTCCGCTGAGCTTGGCTCCTGTGGTTGTAAAGCTGAAGTGCTCTAAGTTTTGTGCAGGTTGGTTGTAGGGAGTTCGTTTTGCTGCATGTAGGAGGATTACACACTGAGTAACAGCTCAGCCCGGCTTGCTCTCACACTGTGTAAGTGGGGTGACTGGAGCGTCAAAGGGTTCCTCTCATGGCCTTTTGCTTGTGAGCCTGAACCAGGCTGTCGGGGCTGCGCATCCTGCACTGTCCATCTGTCTGGGTGGGAAATGGGCAAGAGGGAGCTGTGGGGCTGCCACAGAAAGCAGGAGGTGCCTGGAAATGTGGGTTTCTGGTAGAAAGAGTTGTAGGACTACCCGGGGGTGAGGTTTTATTAAAGCCGTTAATTAAATCTCCACTTGCTCATTGCAGTGGAGATCAGAAGAGCAACCAGCATTCATGGGATCCCCTTTTTTACACTGATCCTGAAGAAAACAGCTAATCATGGAATCCCAACCTGGTTTGTGTTGGAAGGGACCTTAAACCTCCTCCAATTCCTACCCCTGACATGGGCAGGGAGACCTTCCACTAGAGCAGGTTGCTCCAAGCCCCTGTGTCCAACCTGGCCTTGAACACTGCCAGGGATGGGGCAGCCACAGCTTCTCTGGGCACCCTGTGCCAGCGCCTCAGCACCCTCACAGGGAAGAGCTTCTGCCTCAGAGCTCATCTCAGTCTCCCCTCTGGCAGCCTAATGAAGCCAAAACAAAGGTTTCTGCACTTGCATGAGACAGCTAATGTGTCCTGGTGGAAGCAGAATGAATGACTGAGAGAGAAAAAGCACAACCTGAAATAACCTTGTAAAACAGCTTTATTAGTGCGCTATAAGATTGGAGGTACAAAAGCTTCATGGTAAAACACAGTTAAATGAAAAAGATGCCCAGGAAAAATGGTCAGAAAGTTGCTTATGAACTGCAAGCATTCAGTGCTACCTAACAAGACTTTCAGCTAGCCAAGAACTCCTTCCTGATG